AGGCTGGAAAGCCTCCATGCAAGCAGCAGCGCTACGCTGCGTTGGAAACCTGATTGATGACGTATACGGTTATGGACGAGAGCACACCAACTTGACAAACACAGTCCCACGAAAAACACCCCGTGCATCTAGATGGAACTCGATGCTGACCGGAGGGTCCGGAAGGCGTTCTTGCATCAGAGCGTTCACGATCTGGACAAGTAGACCTCATACGTGCACCAGGAAGCGGTGGTGCTACCTCTGTCTTAGTAACCTCACTTGCCAGATTCTTCATTACGACGGTATCGATCTCAGTGAGAGCCTTGGTGGCTCGACGACGACCCTCCTCCCCTCGGGCAGACGGTGACAGCATGGACGTAGGTGCGCCAGACGGTGACTCAGTGAGGTCTCTTTGACCTTGCAACACCGCTAATATCGCTGCACCTACGACGTGAGGAATGCCCGTCTCTGTTGGGGTGAAGGCTTACCTATATCGGGCTCTAGTAGGGCGCTAGCAAGAAGTGCCGCTTCAGCTTCGGGTAATGACATTATCGGGACAAACCCTGTTAGAGGCAGTCCCCCATTTCTGATCGCGCATCATTGTCATACGAACTCGCTGGTTCAATTGCATGATAAATGAGGTACTGGCGAGTTCTTCGGAAGATTCAGCGAGCAGTCGTATCTACCCTGCCACCAAGCACTGTACGAATTCACAACACAAAAAAACGTCGACGAGGATCACAATCAACAACTCTATCTGTAAAGCAGGCTGACGAGTGAAATCATGTACCGTGCTATTTCAAATATACTCACTCCACTTGCGACGATAGACAGGCATCCCCCATCATACAAGCCTTCGAATTGTCGAGGCCAAAGATCCCCACGCCATATACCTACACCATGACCACTTCCAAAGTAAAAGAACTTCGTCGTGGAGTGGTATTGTTGCGGGCACTCTACCATCACTAGCCACGTAAACTCGTATCCAGGTAACCTATAGTGTCTTCATCAGTCCCTTCAACATCACAGTAGTACTCCTCAGGAGATGGATTGTAGCCTTTGATATCGCTAAGTTAGCGACGCTAACCGATTGGGGTCTAAACTCGTGGACTTTCCGTACAAGCGCTCTCTTCCCCTCCCTGCCTTGAAAGCTTCCAAGGCTCAATCCCGAGCTGAACCGTCGGCACCATTTGAAGTCTCCGTAGACAGATGGTAAGGGTTAGGAGTGCCAGAAATGTTCTTGGCTGCAACATGGTCAGATAGCAAAACGCCGCTATCAGGTCCCCAGCCGTGTTGCAAGCTGCCGATCCAGACCCGAGTCCACGGCACCGACCGTGGATACTCCTCGACGATTCGTGAGACGTTGTGGCGGACCAGCGAGACGGCATTTCAAAATGGTGCTTACGATGCGTTGAGGAAACGCAAGATTGTCAAGATCTTCAACAACACTGTTTTCTCAAGGTTGCTGGCTCTTACCACATGGAGACAACGCAACAGTTCATTGAGCGTAGTCACCACTCTTCCTACGCTGGTAAGTCGGTTTACTGCTGCTGGTCGGGGGAAATTCATGCTGTACTCAGCCAGCAGTCCACGCCGGCTCAATTCCTCCCAACGGGTTTTCTCAAATGGAGGACTTCCTGGTCCAGACGAGATCGAATTCGTCAGCTCAGAGGCTATCAATCAGGTAGTGTGTTGAGAAATTCTTCCCCTCACCAAAACTGAGGTAGAGCCTACCGCCCCTCCCCATCGGTCAGGTTCATGAACTCGAAGCCCAGAGGGATTCCTTGCTGGCTGAGATGAAGGAGCTTAAGAGAAGACGGCACCAGAACGAGATAGGAATTTGGAAGACTACGAACCAGCTGGATGAAGGCAACCGCCTGGTGATGCTCTTGCTGATGTTCTCGACTCTGGAGTATAACGCATTTCAGGCAGTTGATCTGGCGAGAAAATGCGAGATTTTGGATCGCGAGAACGCTGCTAAGAGCAATTCCTTGAAGGGAGCTCGAAGGTATGGAAGGATGAATGAAATGCATCATCTCCCTGGTGTCGTTTTCAGAGACTATAATCGAGCTGAAAAAGAAGTCTCTGAGCAAGAGAGGTTCAGCGAGCAGATGTCGCGGCAACTACTAGACATCAAGGCCGAGGTAATATTCGCAGTAGTTGTCGTGAGACTATTTCACATTTTGAGATCATCCGTACTAAGCCTCATATATTGTCCGCTCGGAAGCAGCTCGGCGTGGTTGAAACCGAGAAGGATCGCGTAGTCGCCAGCGTTGGTCGCATGGAAAGGGAATATAGGGTAATGGAAGGCTCTTCTGTACCGCACGAAGCTGAGAATTTAGGCTACTTCATCACGAATGAATGAACTCACACGTCATAGTGCAGAGCTCACTCGAACTCTGCAGGAGGCTGTGACTGATGGTAACCTACATGGATGTAGTAGAAAGCCTTTCGGTGCGGCAGCTAGATAGTAACCTCCATGCTTATGCTGGTTGGTATACATACAGTGTTGGTGTCCACTACTACGATTCTGTGATGTGTTCAATAAGAGATGGTATGTGATGGATTGCCCCGCTGCTATCTGGATGATAGTGATATGTTTGGCTCACGGCGTTGGCCAGCGGGTCTACTCTTCCTACCCTTCTGTTTTGCGAACCCTTGCGGCCTCTGGCTGGAGCCGGCCCAGTTGCACTACCTGGACGATCTAAGGGGGGCTGATGGTGAACAGTTCGGTGATATGCGTATTGCCTCCTTTGAAAAGGGAATTGGTTTCGCCCATCAGGTTATGTATGTGTTAGTCGGTGTGGTACGAATATCCATGATCCAGTTTGTCCCAATACAGTTGGGATAGGAGCATCGTGCTTGCTTGAAGACAGTGGTAGGAGAGGGTTGTCACCTGATCCTCACCGTACTTCACCATCTGGTCACATAGGTTCTCCTGGCGTGGACTACTGTATCGGTACATGTATCACAGCCCAGGATTGTGATAGTAGCGGAGTCAACGCGAGGAGCTACCGATGCGTCCATGGCACTCGTAAGTGCTCGTCTACTCGCATTGAATCGTGGGACCCATCCTTTCACAGCTGGGTCCTCGGGGTTCCACGGCATTTGTGTTCATGAAGCTAGCTTTAAGGACATGCCTGGAATGGGAGTGATGAAGCAGCTGAGTTTCATGGTAGTCTCGATGCTGGCGTGGTTAGTTGAGGGACTGCCAGTGTCTCAGTCACAGTCGAAGTTAGTGCAGCAAGCCCTGCACCCATCGCGAGTGGGGAGAGTCTTGCAAGAACCAGGGGCCACGGTACAGGATAACAACAACAACAAACAACGTTTGCAGACGTAGGGTGAAGTAACGTGTTATTCATAGTAAGTTGAGATTGAGTGCAGATTAGCAGCAGCGAACGCAGCACTTGACGCCCTAGGACGACGGTATGGCTTGACGGCGGACCACGATTATCAATCACTGAAGAAACATCTTAGTGATTTGGGAAAAGGTCGTAGTGGTGAGCACACAGAGCATTGCTTATTTTGACGACACGAGCGTAGCTCTACCGTCCCCACCACTTTTCGACCCGCCGAATATCGAGGACAGCCTGGCGAACGGTGTCAAGGGCGCTGTTCACACGATGCTTCATCCCTTGGAATCGGTGAAAACAGCTTTAGGAGGGGTAGAGTTGTCCGTATCTACGCTACAATACAGTTGGTGATCGACAGGTCCCTAGTGCGGAGACTCATTCTCATTGGCCGCCGCAAGTCTCTGCACCTAGACCGGGTCATGGTGACAGCTCAAGTCAAACCGTCCATCATGCTGGCGGCTTCGTATACACTATACAGTGAGTATTTTGTAATCAACTGACTCGGCCGATTGGGCTTATTCAGAGTCATCGTGATGATGTGTTCTCTACTCTTCTGGGCTACATCTACCAGTGCCATGTCA